TCCTCCTCTCCCTCCCCCTCTCTCCCCTCCCCCTCCCATCACTGCTGTGTGTCTTGCCTCTTCTCTGTGTCCTGCTTGTTTGTCTCCCTGGCCATGATGGGGAGACAATGTGTAATGCTTCACCAGCCTCTGATCTAGGCACTGTCCTTGCATCCCTTATTTAACTCACTATGAAGACAGCTTGTCCATGGTCATTGGTCAAGGAACTCGGATCTTAGGTGTTCGAAGTCATTGAGAATTTGGGATTTAACCCTCCTTTAATCCCAGGTGGTCTAGTTTCAGTGTGCACCTTAAACATTGACACAGCACAGCCTTTTAGAAACAGTTAACTGAATGTGGCTCCAGCTGCCCCAGGCCACACTGCCACATCCTTGATATCAGACAAGTCAAGGTCAATACTTCTAGTCTTAACCCGTTCTGAGATATACAAAATTTCCACTTTTCTCCCCATTCACCTCCCCTTCCTCTGTTTTTCCCTTCACTCCCTCTTTCTCTCTCCTCCCTTCTCTTTCTAGGAATTTTAATCCTTCCTCTTGATGACTGGGGAACAGGACCGAGTCTGAGTGACAAACCGTGCTCTTCTGAGAGTCCCGTTGAGACCAGAGTGCAGCTCTAGGCCCTGAACCTTAAGAAATGAGTTTGTGGTCATAAGTCCTATGCAAGCTTCCCCTTGGTGCATAGTCAGGGTACACAGCCCTAGAGGAGCGTTCACCCACTCTCCTGTTGACCAGCCAGAGTCTTCCAGAAGTCCAGAGGGACTGAATCCGGCTCTACTCTCCAAGTAGCAGAGTTAGCTCAGGCACACTGCTGGTGTGATTACAAGGATTTGACTGTCCTTCAAAAATGGAAACAGAAAGTGGCCACAGATGAAATGCTGGTCTCCTGGACACAAGTTAGTTCACCAATCAGCTGTATTAAATGTGACCATGAACTCCATGCACTTCACAGCACAGCCAGATTTGAACTTTCTGCACTTGCCTGCGAGCATCTTTACAAACCAGGCCTCCTGGTGATGTTAGCCCGTCAGACAGTTGGAGGATTTGAGGTCATTGTTTTGAAGCAGAAACAAATAGAGGAGAAGGCTATGGAGTAGAACAGCAACTCAGTGACCCAGGGAAAGGGATGTGTCATTCAGACAGGTCTCACCATGTAGCCCAGGCTGGCCTCAGACTCACAATCCTCTTGTCTCCGATCAAAGTGAGAGGACATATTGCAATGATTAACCATTCCAATTCAATGTGTTGATTAGCAAGCTGAGGACATGACTTCATATAGCCTTTAAAGTCATGGTCCGTGTGAATTAGCTGAAGGGATGGGGCATGGGCGGCCTCATTTACACAGAGCAGAAACTATTCCTGGAATCCTCAAGGCCCATATGACACAGTATTTGGGCCACCTCCTTAGTGCTAGGAAGTCAGTAAGTCTTGTGTTTCTGCCCATTCTAGAAGTAAATACAATACCTTGTATGTCACTTTAAGCCTGTGGTCTCACTTGCCCTTCACTGTAGCTCCAATACGTAGGTGGGTCACAATCTCTGTTACATCCATTCTGTAGACAAAAGAAGTCTTCAGAGCGAAGGGCTCTGTTCCAGCATCAGAATAGTTAATTCTGTGAGGTGAGCTTGGATCAGGGTGAATCCAACCCCACCACATCCATGCAACAAGGACTTTCCAGTTGGGTTTGTGTGCTGAATGTACAATGTGTCTGAGAATGACGGGGACCCTGCTAACATCTGAATATTGGGGTGAAGAGGTAACAGTGGGCTGGTTCCCTCACACCTGGAAATGATATTCTGCTGGCTCCCTGAAGCTCCCATGAGATGATAAAGGTTGAACTGTGAGCACAAGGCCGGTGGGAGCTTGAGAACCGACTGAGAGGAGAGCTCAGGTCTGCTCACTCCCACCATCTCGTTCATTTAATTTGTCGCCATCGCTGTCTCTAAGTGAGGATAAGAACGGTGATTCATGACTTGCTAAAGACTGTGGCGGCGGAAACTACCCTTATACAAACACCGCTGATGTGGAATTGCTGTAGAAAACCAATGATTCAAAACTGACTTTTATTGTGCTTTCAAACTGAGTGTATTGTCACGCCCCATAGCTTTTCTTCCCCCCATTGGAGTGCTTCTTCCCTTCTCTCCTCCCCTTCCTCCTTTCCTCTCCCCCTTTCCCCTTTTTCCTTTATTGGAAGACTCAAATCTTAGTTGGAAAGTATAGGTTGAACACCCCTAACCTCAACTCTGAAATCTAAACAGGACACATTCTGGAGCTTTGTGAGTACTACAGTGACCCCACAGGCGGAAGGAGCCACACTCGAACTCATGCACAACTCACAGTCGAGGCACAGGTGTATTCAAACATTGTATAACATCTACACGCAATGAGAGCTGAATATGTAAGGTGTATAGGAAACAAAGCTAGTTTTGTGCTTAAATTCTAGCCCTAGATATCTCATTATGTGTAAATAATATTCTTAAAACAATTCTAATCCAAAGCATTTCAGGTAAGGGATACTCAAAAACCCACAGAATCACCATGCCAACATCATCACCTAAGTGTGTTTTCATTTTTCTTATAGCAAATAGTTGATTTTTGTTTGTTTTTTGAGACAGAGTCTAACTGTGTAGCCTGGTTAAACTAGAACTCACTATGTATGACAGGCTGACCTCAGATTCATAGTGGCCGATCTGCCTCTTCGTCCTGAGTGAGTGCTGGGATTAAAAGCATGCACCACCCCACCTGGCCTTTGAATAGTTTTAAGAAGGAATTTCTTTATCATTAAAATAGTTTCACTAAAAAATACAAACCTACTTTAAATTTTTTTGAATAGCCCTTTATAGTACTGCAGTGCATTATATTTAAAATATAGTTAAATGGAGCTGGTATATCTGCATTTATTTTTATGATTTTCTAAGAGTCTCCTTTTCTCCAGGTATTTATGTAGGCTTCATTTATTTTTTAAATATTTAATAGCGGTATGTTTTTGTTGAATTGAATACCATAACAGGCATAATTAGCCTCCTCCTTGTAGATTTTGCACTCCCTATCACCCACATGCACGTTTAGTGAGCAAGGTTGCTCATCTTTCAAGCTTGTTCAGATCCTCTTCAGAAAATTTCAGACAGAAATATGAGTCATTTTAGACCTTTTGGAAGGCTAGCTTGTTTATTTTATTAACATTTAAAACTTCTCTCATTTTTAACCAGAAGTTCATTTTAGGAATTCTTTTCTTTTTTATTGCTCTTTTTTTCTCCCTCCTCCTCCCCCTCCCCCTTCTCCTCTTCCTCCTCCTTCTCCTTCTCCTCCTTCCCCTTCTTCTTCTCCTTCTCCTTCGTCTCCTTTCTCTTCTTCTTGAGAAAGGTTTCTAGGATGGGATAGCTGGAAACATATTAAAGTGTTAGATTTTCACAGTAGCAACACCAACATAAAACAAACCCCACAGCCCAACAACAAAAGCTTCATGAGAGACTCTTGTCCCGTGACACAACATTACGTAGCCACCAATAAGAATGCAGTGAAGTTCTGCCAGGTAAGTGGAAGGGATTTCACATGGTTGTTAATGGAGACAATCTGCAAGCAGTTGTGTGTAATGTATGATACCATTCCATTTTTTGAAAACAGGTAAGACCAAATGAAACAGAAACAAACCCCAACTCTGTAAAACATAGACGACAACCCAAATGGAAGGGCTAGTATATGCCCAAGTCAGGAAGTGTGTTTGTTAAGAAACTGGGTACCCTGATTTGTGTGTTTGTTTATTGGCCTGTTTGTTTTCTAAAGAGAGAGATAAAGAAGGCATGGAGTTAGATATCTGGGGGGATGGAGAGGATCTGGGAGGAGATGAGGGGTGAGAATCGTGAGCAGAATATACTATATGAAAAAAATTTCAATAAAAAAAAGAAAAATTGGGTATCCAAATGATAGTATTCTTGGTAGGAAAATTGATCCTTTTCCTACAGATTGTGATAACAAACATTTAAAAAAACGTGGTCAGAAGATGTGAGTACAAAGTTCAAAGGAGATGCTTGGTTATAATGGACAGAAGCAAAGTTGTGCCGTGATTCCACTTGAGATTCGCATGCCTTTCAAAGCCCCTTCCTCCCACTTCAGAGGCTCTGTCTCCTCCCACCCCTGCTTCCTCACAGTATGGAAGATGAGTCACTAGACCTTCCCTGGCTTCTCAGCTCTCACTGTGGCCACTACCTACCTCTCCAATTGACTGACCAAACACAGACTTCTCAAAATAACACTGTCAAGTGGTAGAGTATCACTGAATTGTGGCAAACCAAAACAGCCAGTTTAGAATGAGACTCCAGTACATGATTAGGAGACAAACTCGGGTAAAGACAATGTGGATGGCTGTCCAGCGTATGTACTGCCTGCACTGGGTATGCTTCCCCAGATCAGATGCTCCAAATGTAAACACCAAGCCTATTGTTTTCTGCTTCTTCAAATGGGGGAAGACTCTGATTCACTGCATTAAGGAAAGGAGTCTGCCTTGAGTAATTCTTTTCATTAGGAGGTTCTGTGGCCTTGTCTATGAGGGACTGTCTTGATTGTTAATAGATGTAGGAGGGTCCAGCCTCTTGGGGACAGCACCATGTTTTGGGCAGGTGCTCCTGGCCTGTACAGGAGAGCTAGTGAAGTATGAGCTGGCAAGCAAGGCATCAGGCATCCTTTCTCCATGGTTCTTGGCTGAACTTCTTCAGCTCCCTGATCAGGGGTGACACATGGAATAGCAAACAGACCTGCCTTCAAGTCCCTGATTGAGTTCCTGCCCTGACGTCCCCTAGTGATGGACTGTAAGCTGAAATAAACCCACACCTTATCAAAGGTGCTTTGGGTCGGTGTTTTGTCTCACAGCTACAGAATGAAAAGAAAGCCAAACCATCCACCACTTCCTGAACCACAATTAAAACATGTAAAACATTGGCATTTAAGTGACAGCGATCAAATGCTTAAATAAAAAGATGCTTAGACATCCCTTACTGACCACTACGAAGCAGTGGGTGTGGCCAACACCTGCTTGTAGTAAGGTCGCATGCTTCTCTTGGCGTTCAGAGATTCCGGACACACGAGATCTCGCGGAGTCTGCGCTGTTGGTGTATCTTCTGTCTTTCACTTTTTCTTATTTATGTTGCCCAAGGTTGTGGTTATGATTATTTCTGAAAGCTACAAAAATCTTTCAAGGCAGCCACACCCACATTTGTCAGTCCTGGGTTGTGTCACGTAAAGAGTATGTACAGCTTGGTAACCATTGGAATTAAAGCAGCTGCTATCAACACGTTCCCTGATGCCATTAGGATTAGGGAGGTGTTTGGCTGGACTCCATCACGTCAGTGCTTGAGCTGGCCTGAGCTGGTGCCTGACTAAATCTGGATTTTCAACGGGCTTGGACAGAGTGAAGTGGCAGTTCTTATTCTGTCCTCTGGGAAACCAGAGGCAGGAAACACACCACGCAATGTCTTATTAGCAAAGGACAAGACCACTTGGTGGCAATTAATCTAATCCTTATGGCTAAAAAGAGGTGTCGGCCAAGTTGTCCGGGCCTGCTTGCTTCTTCTGGAGGAAACGTTATCTGGATTTGGCTTTTTATCATTTTCTATATTAAATCCAGCTTTACAATTCTGTGTGTGACATGCTTTAAACACATTGCCTCATACCGTGAGCCTAATTCCAAGTGAGCACAGCATCAAGGCCGAGGCTGCAGGATATTGCTTATCTGTGTGTTCACAAACAGTCCAGCTCCTTGACTCAGGGCTACATTTGCCGGATCCCTAAACACATTACTATTCAAATAACAGCCGTCATTAAAAAAAAAAAATCTCCTCAAACAATTCATACAGGTGTTATTCAAACAAAACTCTTCTTAGCTTTTCTTTTTTTGTTTAATCTAGAGTAAGTTATTTGGAGAGAAAGAAGACTTAAAATACTTTCCTTCTGCATCTATCTTTGAAATCCTTGTGTGCTCATCTGTGGGTTCTGGGTCTGACTCCAGAGGTGCATAACCAGGATGGGCGCTGCCCCCAGGCTGAGGACCCCTCCACGGGGATGGGCGCTGCCCCGGGCCTGTGGACCCCTCCACGGGGATGGGCGCTG